GCACCGCGGGGATCCCTTTGCACCCTGCACACCCATTGCACCGTGTCCTGGTGTCGTGCACCGCGGGGATCCCTTTGCACCCTGCAGACCCATTGCACCGTGTCGTGCACCTCGGGGATCCCTTTGCACCCTGCAGACCCATTGCACCGTGTCGAGCACCGCGGGGACCCCTTTGCACCCTGCAGACCCATTGCACCGTGTCGTGCACCTCGGGGATCCCTTTGCACCCTGCAGACCCATTGCACCGTGTCCTGGTGTCATGCACCGCGGGGACCCCTTTGCACCCTGCAGACCCATTGCACCGTGCCCTGTTTTCATGCCCCATGCAAAAACCTTTGCAATGGGCCCACGTTTTGCACCGTGCACCAGCACCTTGCACCCCGCAAATCCTTTTCCCCTTGAAAAACCGCCGCCAAAATCTCTGCACCTCCCCGAAAATCGTATTATTTCAATGTGCACTGCGTATTTTCTGCCCCAAACCCGTGCCCTGCTTCGCTAAACGAGAGCGCAGCAGGAAACACCTGTGGAAGCAGCAGCCCCGCGACCGCGAAAATGCGGAAATTTGGGCAAAGAGGCTGGAGGCGGAGGCCGGGATCTCCCGTCCCGCCCCGGAGGCCGCTTGGTTTCCGCTCATGCAAATTCCACCCCTAAAACGGGTTAAAAACCCCCGTTTTCTGTTCTCCAGGTTGCAGAGCGAAGACGGACGACGCTGGAGCCCTAAAACTGGATTTAAAGCATCGCGTTCCCTTCCAAAAATCGGATTATTTGCCCGGGGAGTGAGGAAAAAAGGCGAAAATCAACGAAAATGGCACATTGCGCCCTGCAATTCGGATTGCACCCGGGAGGATCGTGCAAAAGGGAGAGGGAATCCACCAGAAATGGGCAAAATTTGCACTGGATTTGTCAACTGGAGGCTTTTTCTGCAAGAAAAACCCACTGTGGATATAAAATTCTTTGTTTCTAGGCTGGAAATGCATCAAAAAAGGCAATTTCTGATGGAAAAAAATGGGCTATTTTCTCCCCTGGAATTATGCGCCGTCCAGATTGCATTGTGCAAACGGCACAAGCGGCAAAAACCTCGAAACCACCCCAAAAAAAGGCAGGAAAAATCTGATTTTGCTCCCGCTTTGGGGTTTCGCAGCGCCCTGTTGGGTATCGTGGTGATAAACGCCCTGGAGAAAACACCAACGGCGTGAAAAACGGCTTGTTTTGCCCAAAATGGCATTTTTTGCAGCGCATCCTGCGCCAACGGGGACGACGCGTTGCAAACGGCGCAAGTTTGCAGCAAAAAATACCCCAAAAAGGGGAATTTCTAGGGTTTTGCACCCCTTGCAGAGCAAAGATACGGGTGCAAAATTAGTGTTTTCAGCGTGCTTGAGGATTTTCGGGTGTTTTTGCCCCAAAACGACCGTTCTTTGGCTTCGTGCGTCTCCTGCCTGCAAATCGCTAAAATAAGGGCGGATTTGGGGGAATTTTGTGCTGCAAAAAATCACCGGGTGCTACTGCTGCTGCTGCTGCCCACAGTGACACACATCGGCACAAAAACTGGCCCTAAAAAACCCGGATTTGGGGCTGCCGCAGAGCAGGATGTGGAAAACCACCAGGAAACCGCAGGCGAAAGCGGAAATTTCAGCCAAATTGCTGAATTTGGGTGAAATCGCTCTTTTGCGGGGGGGATTTTATCGCAATCTCCTTTCATTTATTGCACACTCCTTATATTTATGGTAAACTCTTTTTATTGATAAAATTTTATTTTTATATTTTTATTATTAAAAAAACCCTTTTTTTTAATTGCAAACTCCATTCTTTAGCAAAAATGCAGAATTATTTGCTAGAAAAACACCCGTTTTTTCTGCCTCCCAGGGCATTTGTGACTTTCAAAAGCAGCTTTTCCTTCTCAGCTGCCAATTCTTTACAAAATTGGGCAATTCAGAGCAGATTGATGGAAGGAGGAAAAAAAAAACCCAGTCGATAAATTATTTTATTTTATTTTATTTTATTTTATTTTATTTTATTTTATTTTATTTGGCATTTCACACACTTTTAGGGCTGGAGCATCAGGAAAAATGTGAAAACACACACGTACAAAAAAACCCCCATAAAAATGCAAGGAAAAAAACCATCCCTGAAAGCCTCAAAAATGCTAAAAAAAAGAAGAGAGTGCAAAAAAAGGGAAGTTTCAGAGCACTGATTTCCCCTTGTTTTGCCCCATCGCCTTACAGCAACGTCTTGCTTTTGAGTCCCAAGGGGCTATTCTATTTTTTTCCCAATTATTTATATATTTGCAAAACCGAATTTCGCTTTTTTTTGTGCAGAAGATGTGTGGCGGGGGTGGGGGGTTTTTGGTGTGAAAAGCGGGGATTTTGGCGCACCGTGGTTTTATTATACTGACGCCGTGGGCCAGGGGACGACGGTCACCGTGTCCTCAGGTGAGTCCCGTTTCCCGGCGGTTTCGGGCCAAAAATTTGGGGCCGTTTGGACTTTTCGGGGGACATTGGGGGGCCAAAATTGCCCCCCCCCCAAAAGGGCAGGGCCACGAGCGGCCGTATTGGGGCCAAAACGGCCCGAATCGGCGTCAGGAGGGACAAAAATATTGATTTCTCCCCATTTTTTGGTCATTTTTCATCCATTTTGCGTGGAAAAATAGACATTTTGGGGCCAAAATGTTGATTTTCCCCCCAATTTATTATTTTTCCTCCCTTTGGGGGGAGGGAAAATTGACTGTGAGGACTGAAAAAATGACAATTTTTTCATCTTTTTCTTCATTTTTTCCCCACTTTATGGGGAAAAATGTGGACAATTAGGGGCTGAAAGTGTTCGTTTTTGGGTCTTTTTTTTGTGATTTGCCCCCTATTCGCGAGGGAAAGGAGTTAAGAAAATGGACATTTTAGGGGCCAAAAATGTCATTTTCAGTCTTTTTCTTCATTTTCTCCCCAGTCCTGGGCAGGAAAATATAATCTTTTTGCCCAATTCCTCACTTTTTCCCCCTGCAATTTTTTTTCTTGAAAAACAGCGTTTTGGGGTAAAAAAAAAAATTAGTTTTTTTTTTTTTGCCCCTTTTATAGGCGTAAAATCCTCTTAATTATTTTTAAGGGGGTCCATGGAGTGAAAATGTTGCTTTTTCAGACAGCTTTTGCATTTTTCCGCCCCAAATATTGATTTATTTAGGGAGTAACGGGAGGAATTGTCTTCGTGTTGGAGAAAAACGGGGTATTTTGGGGTGAATTTGGGAAAAAAAGGTGTCCCAGAGGCATCGACAAGGGTGAGGTGGGACTTGGTGTTTTGAGGATTTTATTAGGATTTAATCTATATTTTTCCTAGAATTTAAGAAAGAATTTTGGGTTGAATTCATGGGGGTGTTTAGTTTTTCTTTGTCTTTCCCGTGAAATTTCTCTCTTTCCTTCTTTTTTGGCCCATTCCTGGTGGGTTTTGTTGATTGGAATTGTGAGTTTTGGAAAGGACTAAAAAGAGGCATTTTGAGTGACTTTGGGCGGACTTAGTGACGGGGCTAAAAATCTGATTTCTGACTTCTTTTTTCAGAGAATATTTCTTGATTTCAGCTAGTTTTCAGGGGCCTAAAAAGCCCAAGATGTAAGAAACAAATCCCCTTTATTTTGCTAGGTAGAAAATGGTAGAATTTGGCATTTTGGGGCTGTTTCAGGAAAATTTAAACTAAAAATACATAATAGTATATAGTATATAGTATATAGTATATAGTATATAGTATATAGTATATAATATATAATATATAATATATAATATATAATATTTGATATATCATATATCATATATCATATATCATATATCATATATCATATATCATATGCAATATAATATAATATAATATAATATAATATAATATAATATAATATAATATAATATATATTATATATATAAAATAGTGAGAAATAGCTAAAAAATAATTGAGAAATAGATATTTTTAATGAGAAATTCATAAATAATTATAAGATAGAGGGGGTTTTTAATGTGTTTGTAAGTCAGGTTGGAGCTGACAGATTGCCCTATTTTGTTTTTTTGTAACATTTTAAGGCTAAATTCATACATTTCACATATTTTTCCCCTAGTAGTTTAATTTTTTGCCTGTTGTCTGATAAAATAATGAGACAATTTTTTTTAAAGTCCTTTTTTTCTGCTGCAATTTTGAGGCAACCCAAGGGGTTAAAAAATATAGAAATAAAATCAAACCTCTTTTTTTCTCCTGCAGAAAAGGGCCTGAAAATGCCCCAAAATAACCCGGTTTTGGTTTCGAAAACAGCAGAAAAAAAGGGGAAGTGGGGGCTGTTTTTGCCTTTTCTCCTTTTTCCCCCTTTTTTGCATGAAAAAAAAAATACCCAGCCCGAAAAACATCCCCACCTGCAGCAGAAAAACATCCCCCGCCGCGGTTTTGGGCTAAATTAAGGCGGTTTTGGGGGTCCAGATTTGTTTTTTTCCCTTGCTATTTCTCTCTGAGAAACTCCTTTCCCGACAAAAATGAGCTATTTTCATCCTGCTGCGGAAACCCAAATTTGCTGATTTTCGCCTTGCGCATTAGCTGATGTTCAAGGGGAAAAAAAAAAAGAAGTCTTGACCCAAATCTTTAATTATTAAGGGGTTTTAGTTCCTCTATTTTCCCCTTGTTTTCCCCTTTCTTTAAACCAAATTAAAGCCATTAGCAACACTTTAATTAAAACAAATTAAAGCAATTAGCAACGCTTTAATTATTGTCCTTCAATTAAACATGCGTTTTTACGATCAGCGCTGGTTTAATTGCCCGGCAATTTAATTTCTCCATTTCCAATTTCTCAATTCTCAATTTCAAATGTCTCAATTTCAAATGTCTCAATTTCAAATGTCTCAATTTTAAATTTCTCAATTTAAAACTTCCCAATTTAAAACTTCTCAATTGAAAACTTCTCAATTGAAAATCGCAATTTCTGGGCATTTCTCCATCTTGAAACAACTTAGCGATTTCTCTCAGTTTTTTTCTTTTTTTTCTTTTAAAGTCCTTTAATTCCATTTAATTGAGCCCATTGGGAAGAAGAACCCAACCATTTAAAAAAAAGAAATTTTAAATTTATTATAAATAAAAAATATATTTTAAATTAAATTTAAATTTTTTATAAATAAATTTTATATATATACATATTTTATAAATATGTATAAAATATATAATAATAATACACTCTATATAATTTGGAGGCAATTAACACTAATTATCAGCCAGGCAATTAATTAAACTCTTGGAGGCCCCATTGGGAGCAAAGGGACGGTAGAAACGCAACCGGTAAGAAATTTATTTCAATTTTTTACATCAATTCACATTTTTTCAGAAAATCTTGGTTCTTGGTGTGGGAATCGTTGGGTTTTTTGGGCTGAAATGTCCCAAATTCCTCAATGTCGGTCAGGCCGTTGCTTTTGGTGGAAATATTGGATATTTGGGGCTGTTTCGGGGTCTCAGTGATAGAAAAATCCCATTTTGGGGGGAATAGTTGAAGGTTCGGGTTTTTCGCTGGTCTCTGCTCAGGTTCCAGGGCTAAAATGGGGAGAAAACACAAATTTTGATGACTTTTTCACCCGAGAGAGCTCGTTGACTTAGAATCGGTCTTTTGGAGGCAATAGTTGGCTTTTATTTTTAACCAATTTCTCCCTTTTTTTGAGGTGGCCCAAATTAAGTTCAGGGCTGGTCTCGGGTGCAATTTCACCCATTTGGGGCAAATTTAGGATTTTAGGAATTCGGATTTAGGATTTGTTTAAGAAATTCAGGAAATTTCGGCTCTGGGGCACCCATGGGTGCTGGTACCGACTAGCTGGGTCCACCAGAACCCGTTCCATGGTGGAACCGGGTCCCAGTTCTGCAGAACCGGCTCTGGGGCACCCATGGGTGCTGGTACCGACCAGCTGGGTCTACCAGAACCCGTTCCATGGTGGAACCGGGTCCCAGTTCTGCAGAACCAGCTCTGGGGCACCCATGGGTGCTGGTACCGGCCAGCTGGGTCCACCAGAACCCGTTCCATGGTGGAACCAGGTGG